ATATAAATAATATATTGTATATATATATATATATGTATATGTATGAACATATTATATATATATATATGTATGAACATATTATATATATACGTACACACACAAACACACACACATTGACACACACACACATATATATATAAATTATACATATAAATATGTATATAAAATAATTTGAATACAAACACATACACGCACACTTACGTGCACACACACAAGAAATCACACACGCACACACACACATACTTATACCACGCACGAAAAACTACTATGTATTTATTTGTGCATATGTTTGATCGTATGTCTATTGTGTCGGATGCCGAATCACTCAGTTGTCTTCCGCTACAGACAGTTTGGCAAATACCGCCTAATGCCACAATTCTGAAACTATACTTCTCCAAACAATTCTAAACAGTATTGCAGTGAATATAGCCGAGAGCGAATATATTTTACAGCATAGCGAATCCATTATACCTGGTTTCCAATACATTTTGAACTTTAACGTTCACGAGTAAGCATAACTACCCACGAGACCGAGTAATACCAATATACCGGCACACATAACCTCCAAGAGGAGCAGATACTGGACTAAGGAGTTACTTATTAGGCTGATTATATGTTCGGAGAGAGTTAAAGATCGCCAACCCTTCAAATAACTGTGCTTTGTGCATGTGCGCGTAACAAAATTGCTGCAAATAACTGTGCTTTGTACTTTTGTGCTTGACAATTTGCTTCAAATAACTGTGCCACAGACCAAAACCTTCTGACTGTTCTTGTAAACCTCGCCAACCTTTAGAACTGTGCTATCTAATTCAAAGGGGTTTCGGTCCTACCGCTATTATTCACAGTAAAGCTATATACTGCCTAGATCAAATATACTTGATTGTATATATATATATATACCTCTGCTTTCTCATGCGCGTCGCTATCCGCGTCAGACACCCTGACCTCCACATCTTCGTCGTGCTCGGTCGCCATGTTGCCGCCACTTGGTAGCAGAACTCTACACTACTCTAGTAGGGCAGCAAGTATGCTTTTCTGCTGTTATAGTATTTTAGGGTTGTTCCTAACTGTCGATTCACACAGGAGTATCACTGTTTCGGTATTCAAGAACGAACTCAATAACAGCAGGTAAACAAAATTTTATGTTTGGAAATTGTATTTTAATAAAATATTGTGCACAACAATGCAATAGTTGTTCACTCAATTTTATTTAAAAAAATACAGCAGCCGCCGCCCGCCAGGCGCCAGCGATGTGAACGGAACCGGAACAGTAAAAAATATAAAAATTAAAATACAAAAATAAGAACTACATTTTTTTGTGGCAGTAGATTACAAAATATGGAGCATATTTTTAAAATAGACGTTTTCTGATTGGCAAAATATGTATGATTGAGGGTGGTAGATTGTATCCCACTTGTATAACAAAATGATTTTAAACATCGCCCTTTTGGGCGGTATCAGACTTTCAGGCTTCAGCTTTTATAAGAAAAGTATGCCCTGTGTGAGGCTGTGTCTGTGACAGACTGTGAGTCTGTGTCTCGTGAGACTGTGACTGTCAATATTTTACTTTGAAGTGCGTGAACTTCTCTTGTTGTGTGAACTTCTGTGAAGTGTGAAGTGTGAAGTGTGAAGTAATAAATATGTGTATCTGAACTTGAAGTTGTGTGTAACTTTTGTGTGACTGTGGACACAGTCTGTGAGACTGTGTCTGACTGTCTGTGACTCTTGTGTCACTGTGAGAGTCTGGGACTCTTGAGACCCAAGTGTGTGGTTGATTGACTGACTGTGACTCTGTGAGCCTCACACTATAACTCTGTGAGGCTGTGGTTAGTATGGCGGACTGGCACTACAGCGGTAGGCCGGTTGCGGTAGTGTGGATTGTGTATTTTTTAAAAGTAGTGTAACTCTCTCTAAATATTTAGTATTTAGAGACTCTCTCTCTCAGAGAGAGAGTCGAAGAGAGCTGACAGATAACATGACTATATTTAAAATATGAGTCATACATACTAGTCTAATGTTTTTATTTAACTAGGAGAATGGTTTTGTTGTTATTACTATAAATAGGTTTTACAATTCAGAAGACTTTTTTTAAAGGCTATGGTTTTTCTAAAATGAATATATATATATTTTTAAATATCAACAATGAGTCAGTGACTCATAAATAGACTTCACCGCGAACACTATAAAAAAAAATGAAAATGATTTTAATAAGTATTTTATACATATGTATTTAGCCCAATATGCATTTTTTTTATATTGGGTATTCGCCTTTATGTAAATAATGTAGTTAGCCCGAATTTAATATATAAAAAAACTAATGCACTCGGAATCGGGGGTTAACCTTTTTATATTAGTATGTATTTTAAAAATAGAACGCACTCTATGAAAAAATCGATAGTGCTTGTTTCTAAAATATATATATATATATATATATAATTTCGGATGGTTGGTTCTTCCAGACAATATGATTTGTATTTACCTCTCTTTTTTTATTAAACAAAAGCCGATTTTAAAAGCTCTACCGGTATATTTATTATTTTTACGTTGTATTGATGATGTAAATATTCAGTATTTAAAAAAACCCCCCATTTGTATTTTTATGTACTGCTACAGTGGCAACAGTGGTACGGGTCTACACTGCCAGGGCAGCCACGCCCAGGGGTACAAATCTTATCTCTCCGCGAGAATCAACCAACCGATTCTCCTGAAATTTAAATAGAGCTGATTCAGATTCATAGCCTCTCCTAAGAAATAACATCTAGGTTCTAGATACTAGAGTAGGCTTACTCTAGGCTATGGCTGATTCTAAATTTCTATTTTACATACTCATTTTTTTTATAGATTGGATTTAGGTTTCAACTTTTAAAAAAAGAAGTCGAATTCAACGCCAAAACACCTGGTCTTGTGGCACCATGTTATCAAATTTGTATTGGAAGGGTACAAATTTCTCAAACCCCAAAAAATATTCGGCCCCAAAAAGTCCCCTTTACAGGATATGCAAGTCACTCTAAAAGTCTCTGTACATAGTGTATATATCTTTTTCGTTTCTGTTTCTAAAAACATATTATCTCCAATATTTAGACTCCAAAATCCAAACTTCCAAACTCAAACTCAAAAGTTTAATTAATATGTTTTAAAAAAAAATCATTTGCTGAAAGCGTAGATAAGCTTTTCCCTGTCGACATTATCACCGATATTTTGTGTCGCCAAGAACGTCCGTGACGCTATTTGACCCATTTGTAGACCCCAACAGAGTCCCGCCCTCCAGAATTTAGTATGTATTTGTGATAGTGTGGAAGAATATGAGCAAATAAAATATCCCTACGATTATAGGCTTTCAGTCTCCGCGGCGACCCAGCAGTGTTTTATTGTTCTGTTCAATTTTTAGAAGAACGCTTTTGCTTTCAGGTTTTGAGCCTTTGAGTTTGAGCCTTTGAGTTTGAGCCTTTGAGTTTGAGCCTTTGAGGGCTATTGCACTATGAGCTATCTTCACACGAAATTTATGTCAAAAACCCTAAACAAATATTTACCCATACAATGATATTTTATATTATACCGGGGGAGGGGACATGGATGCTTTGCGGGTCTACAGATATGTAAAATATAGTATGCTCGTGTGTATGTAAGATATATGCAATGAAGTATTTGTAGGGACCTTTAGCTCACAAACATTCTGAATACATTGCGCAGGATGAATGCTGTTTTAAATAGTCCGAGTACATAGCACCAATAGAAACGAAACAAAACCTTAAACCAGCAGTTTATGTTCCACAGTTAGTGCAATTTATTTTTTACGACAATCGCTACTAGTTAAAATCAAGTACTTGTCATTCATTGTTTCCTTTTCGAAATCAACCAGATAATCGTTGATACTACGTGCCCTCCACCCTGGGGTCTTGCTCATTAATCCATTGGCTCAGAAATTATATTCCCCCCTCTCTAATAGGGGAGAACTCGGCCGGTTCCCACGACAGACTCGTAAAAGCTTAGGATACTCTTGTGTATCCAGAGGTATAGTCGTATAGAGTAGTTGACCTTGAGTGAATCGAGTCTAATGGGAAGAACTCTGACAACCAGACTGCTAAGTATATCACACTCACATGGGTGTATAAAAAGCGTCTGAGATAGTGCCAGGCACAGGTTTACCAGGAAAACTCGCACCGAAACACGGTATCATCGGCAGGAGATGGCGATTAAAATCTAAAAGTGATACTTACCACACTGAATATTGTGGCACTTTCTTTCTCCCTGGGTTCAGGCGGCCAGAAGAATTGGTGGTATTTTGGAACTATAGTGTGTATATACCGACGCGAGCACGGATCTTAAACGTGACGATACATTCTCATCGAAAGCTGACACATCACACCCATTGAGGGAATCCATCCATTTCCGGATGCGACAAGAAGCACCGTCTGTCGTTGGATTGAAATTAACGGCCACACTCTTCAAGGAGCTTATAATGACATTCTGCATTGCTGCTGGTTGGCAATAAGTCTCGAAGAAACTGAAGATGGTGGTCGACAATTCTTCCGTACTCGAAACTGAGACAACCTTGTCGAACTCCTCTACAAATGCGTCCAGAAGGCCCAGAAGTATAATGGTCTTCGTACCAGGCGGAAAACTGGTGGAGTAATCTGTCGTCACCTCTTGCTTCACAGTCGGTACCCCAGAAGGTTCTCCACCCATATCTTTAACCTGTGCTCGCAACGCTTGAATCTCGGCTGTCATCTGTGCACGTTGTCTCACTAAGTAACTAATATAATCTACGGCTTTCCTCAGAACACTCTCTTTACTACTCTTACTTTGTGGGAAGTTTCGACATTGTGGTATAGTCTGCTTGAGCTCGTCAAAAGCATCCTTGAGATTGTGCCTTCGCTTCTTCTCTGACGCCAAATGAGCACGTCGCCGCCGAGCAGCATCTTCTGCATCAACGCATTCGGATTCAGTCGTAATAGGGCTGGAAACAGATAATACCAGCGGCGTTGTGTTCATCGAATTAGCACTCTTCGATGCAAGCACACCAACAGGCTTGTCGATTCCCATGTTGGCAGCTGCCACCGGAACTGGAGAAGAATTGAGAATTGGTGACTGAGCTACGCTAGCATCCGCAACAGGTTCACTCTTGACCGCTGGGATTTGGAGCGGGTGTTGTGATTGGCTTTGTAGTCGGGCCTGCGACTGTTGGCTCGCCAAAAGCTGCGCGTGTAAATTGGCCTGTGCCTGTACTTGTGCCTGCAATTGCATGTGCATCTGTGCTGCCAGAAGCGCTTGCGAGGGAAGTTGCATCGCCATTGCGTTGTCCACCTGTGACTGATCCATATTGAACATACTAGCAAAGCTTGATCTGTCGGTCGCGAAGCTTGACCTATCGGTCGAAAAGCTTGAACGTTCCACATCAAAGCTTCCATCTGGGACCGTAGGTATGGACTGCGCCATTGATGAAGCTACATCTTGTCCTAGTGTATCAGGTAAGGGCCAAGAAGCATCCGTCATATCCGGTGAATTCGCAACATCGTCTGAGCCACTATCTGTTGAGCTGGCATCGTTACCTAATAGACTAAGTGAGATGTCTGCGCCTCCAAAAAACCTAAGGGGGTCCAGATAGTTCCCAAATTCCATATCCTCGAAATTCATAGTATTCAGAGCGGGATTGTACAGCAAAGCATCACCGCCGGTAAGCATCATTGATAGATTGAAGCTTTATGATACCTAGCTAACTGATTTGATGCAATTTGTGTGTATGACTTAATCTGCTTGATATGTAAAGCTCAGATACAATTATAGTAGTCACTATTTTCAGAATTTATTTGGAAGTTAACTTTAGATTTCTATTGCTTCTTTAGTGTTTGGAAGTGATACGTTTTGAACATAGTTCTGAATATATATATTTATGAAAGAGCCGAAAGAAAGAAAAAAAAGAGAATTTCTATAATTCGATGATGAAATTCCCTCAAACTATCGAACGAGTCTACATTCTACTGAATACACAGTCACTCTGCAGAACTCCGGCAGACTCTGGGACAGTTGGACGCTGTGTGGCGTCACTGGGGAGTGCCAGCTACAAGTGGTAAGTGGGAACAAGCGGGGCGAGTGCTGTAGAGACTCTCCAGACAGCGGACACAAGGAGTACGGGACTTCATTCAGTCTGCAGAGTGGGGGACTGGGGTCTGGGGGTCTGGGAATGGGCCCCTGGCAGCCCGGGAGAGAGCAAGGGGTGGGGGTGGTTCTGCGGCTGCAACGTCTGCAAGCCTAAAACTAGTACAAACAGATGCCAATAAACTCGACCCAAAAAGGTTATTTTTTTTAATAAAAACCGGAACTAATTTAATCCCCTATCGGCCCGCCCCCTGCTGTTTTCAGTGTTTTAAGATATAAATATCTCCTGGATCACATAAACCAATGAAATATTATTGTTTTTGTGAGCATCGGCCCGCAGGGGCTCGGATTCCTACACGTGAAAGCAAAATACTCGAAAAAGAGTACCTCGTGAAAGGAATTCCTCTTTCATGCACCAATCAAATAAATTAATGTTAGTGCAGCGTTAGAAACGGCTGGACTGGCTTTTCTTTTGCCTGTTCTGTTCTTTCAGATGTAATTTTCATTCAAAAAATCAACAACAACATTATCTTAGATACTAATTTTTATCCTGTGTTTTTTAAATTTTATATATTTTTTTTTAAAAGATTGACATTTTTGTATTTATTTTCTTGTTGAGGTTTTACAATTTTACGGATATATAATAATTAAAAAATAAATGTATGTTTACGACATACTGTATAGTCGTATAACCTCAGACCTTCGTATCTAGTAGACAATTATCGTAAATGGCAAATATTATCGTAAATGTTTAATCGTCGTTTATTGGTATTTTGGAAAAAAAAATTAAATATGTATCTGAATGTACATATAAATCGTATGTAGCCTTCTTCACTCTTGAGACACTTTAAAAACAAATCGTATTGTAAAAAAACAAAAAAAACACGCATACTGACTTTGACGGTTTGCCCAAGAAGGCAGAAGTCCAGTAGCCCACTAAAAGTCAAAACCTCATTTCTTTCACCCAGCCGCCAGCCGGCCCTATAGTCAAACCCAGAGTCCCAGACTCCAGGAGTTCAGAGTCCCAGACTCCAGGAGTCCAGAGTCCAGAGTCCCGAGTCAGCTGGTAAACAGTATTTTATGAGATTTTATTTTTCATTTCCTGGTTGGTAGTGTCTGCTGGAGTTCGAGTTTGGTGTCTGGAGATTGAGAATGGACTCTGGACCTCTGCTGGGGATAAACTATAAAGACTATTTTGAGTTGCTTTTCTATTTCAAAAAGATAGCCTTTTTCTAAACAAAACTAGAAAAAAGCAGAAAAAACAACTTTAAAGCCGTGTCAGTGACTCTGAAGTCAAAACCTCTGTAGACCGCTCAGTCTCAGCCTCTCAGTCTCAGGCCCCAGACCCCAGGGCCCAGGGCTCAGGCCTTACACTCCCAAGTCTCACAATAGTCAGACTCAAGTCTGAGAGATGACTGTTCTGAGTGTTCATCCCAGGGACCCAGAGCCAGAGTCTGAGACATCGGGTGAGTGGTGACGGATGAGTCATGACTGGTCATGACTCTCGCTTGGTAACTGACTAACTGTGAGTCTGGACTCTGGACTCTGGAGTCTGCCTTCTCTGGGCCCTGGGGTGGGGAGAGATGAGTCTGACGGCCAGCTCGGAGCTATTTATTTTGCACGTGCCCATCAAACTATGAATTCTGTTATTGTATTGATCAAATTTAATGCCGTTGTTTTACCTAGCCAATTATAATATCGGAAATAGGGATGAATGCACCAGTAAATGAAAAGTTTCATCTGCTCTTATAGTTTGTATTTTTCGAATTATCTAAATTTCTCCTCTCTCTGTCTGTTGACTTTTGTCCCTTCGACGCCGACGGAGACTAACGGAGAGTCGGAGACTCGGAGAGTAGGAGAGTATTTGCCTATTTTTGTTGTGGGTCTGTGCAAAAGTATAAAAGTACTACTTTAGGAGGGTATGGTAAATATTGTAAAATTACACAGTTACATACTAAATCCAACTGGGATCTATCAGCTGCGTCATCAAAAGGCAAAAGCTTACAACAAGCAAGAAGGGACTCGAGACTCAAGAGTGAAGACTCAAGTCTCAAAACAAAACTATGTCCTGATGTGTGACGCAGTGACGGTGTCAGAGATATTTCGAACAAACACGCTAATTCTTATGCATACCCGTGGCCACTGTTTGCCCTTATTTGTATTTTAAAAATATGATAATAGCAGTATAGCACTGTCCCTACGCTCCTACCTGACTCACACTTTGGCTTTTTATATATCATTTTATAATAGTATGCAGAGAGGACTTAATGAGGGTTTGAGAAATATTCAAGTTTTAAAAATAATAAAAGATAGTCTGAATCCTCCTGGTATTGGAACTTCATACAAACTTAGTAACAGACGACATATTTTTCGAAAAGACTATAGTGATTAGCGAATAGTCTATACAGACAAACATATTTATGCATTTTTACTTTGGGAGACGCGCCGTTTGTTTTGTGCACGTGCTGTATGGAACACTCCCTCCGAGAGATAAACTCGATTTTTGAAATTGGAAATTGTGATCAATGATGGAATTTATATTTTAAAACATAGGACAAGCTTCTGCTTGACTGCTTGTTTCTGGTGCGTCACAGCCTTCTAAACTAAACAGTTTAGAGGGCTATGCTTGAGTCTCGAGTTCTTGACTGCTTGAGTGTTGCTGGACGCCTTGACCGCAAGGTGGCAAACGAAGTCATCAGTCGCACTCGCCCGTTGATTGAATATTGATTTGCGCAAGTTACATCCTGAGTGGAACACACAAGGTTTCGAGAGACATGGTTAGTAGATCTGCATTTTAGAACATGTATCGTCTTTTTGAGAGACACGAATAGGGCTACAACTTAATATCTACATGGACTTGCGCAGGCTACACACAAGGTTTCGAGATATATGGCTAGAGCTGCATTTTAGAACATGTACCTTATTATTGAGCAACACGAATAGAGCTACAATGTAATTTCTACCTGGCTACACGAACGTTTTTGTTGTTGTTGCTCCTGTCGTGTTATCACTTGGCCACCAGGTAATGACTCTGAATACAATCTGCGATCGCCCTCTCCACCGGTCCAAGAAATGCTTGCTTCAATCACATTGAGTGCGCATACTGCTCTGTGGAGTTTGTAGTCCATTCTTGCGCTTGGGGGTTTGTGTCCAACTTACAATAGTCGTTGTGATCCATCGCGCAAATAAAATACACGATGCACTGTGACAATCTCGTACGAGGACACTGTGCAATGGCCGCATTCTACTGTAGACACATGAATTGTGATGTTTTTGAGTGCTAAACTTGGTGTCGCGAGGGAGTATATCATTCGTACATCATAATAGGTCACACTCTTACCGAATGGTAAGAAAACGGATTGCTAGTAGTTGAATACTATTGTACGCGTAGATTTGTGGCTAAATTTCTCTGCTAAAAATGTAGACGTTTGGCAAAGTCATAGGCAATGTTTTATAGACAGTATGTATTCAGATTGTCTTCACTTTAGTGACCTCGAATATGAAGAAGAAGAAAAAGGGTTTGTGCATAGCCTACTAAGTAAAACACTTGTGCCTCGAGGATTAACTGTTTAACATAAGGTCAGTTTATTTCCACCGGGCTATTGTGAGAGCGATCTCTGCTCAGTGAGATTATGAGTGTAAAAGTATATCGCTTTTAGACTAGTCTTGCGATGGCGTTAATTCTATTTACACTAATAATTAATGCGAGAAGCTTGAGATTCTGTCGCGGCTATTTGGCGAACATGAAGGACTACTAGTGATGCGAGGCGTTTGCTCAATACTATTCATCAGAATCGGTTCTGGTACGTGATGGAATCCTCCATAACATCATCACCGATTGCTCCCAAGTATGTAGCGAGTCCTGTTATTAGACGGCTGGCTGCGTTGTGCGCTGCGGGACTCCCATCGATAGAGACTCAACTCTAACAATCGATGGCGGCGCGTATATGCTGAGTGATTGGAATGGTCCTCACGGCTACGTTTTGGCAAATGCCTGTTCAATGCTCCGGAAGACGGAAGACTTATTTGCATGACATTGGTATACGCTGTTGTTTCATACCAAGTCATCCATTTTCAGCCAATCGTCAAGGAGCTATACAAGACAGTATGGGATGTGGGAGTCGTAGACATGTGAGAAAAGATGGTACGAATGCTCAACGAAGATATCGGTTGCAATATACAGGAATACGCAAAGGTTAACCTAACAAAGGCCACCAAACAACCCAACAAAGACCACCGGTCAATTGACAATCGTAATGCTGCAAGGGCAGAGCAATGGAGAGTCTTGGGATATTTTCTACAGTATGGTATATGCTTACAAGTATGCTGTTTCACTGTTTCACTAAAGGACAACAGCAAGTCGATACACTTACCAAATTACCGGATAGACCGGTGTCTAAAAGACTTCCCGGTGTCAATCCGAGACTATTCGAAGTTGTGAAATCCGTATCGAAGAAGTCGGGCAAGGTGAGAGATGCAGCTTGATCCACATCAAAGAGCAGTGAGGAACTGACGGTGCACCAATGCAGATTCAAATACAGTTGTGAAAACCATGTTGTATGCGTGAAGTAATGTTAGCTTAACAAGGACAAGGTTGTAAGGTTCAATAAAAACCCATCTAAAAGTTCTGATAAAGTCTCGAAAAAATTTGCCCTCGACAGAATAATAAACAAATGAACAAGAGCATGTGTGACTGCGACATGGAACATGTTTCATACCTCCATTCCGGATCTGAAGATGGGCTCAGACTACTAAGTAAGCCGGTACTATTTGCTTCCGGCGAGCACAGTAGTAGCGGCGACCCAACTAGTGCACTATGCAGGAATGCGGATTGTGTGGGTGTGGGGGATTTGGGATTATGTGTGGTATTTTCTGAGGGCTCGGATACTTCAACTGCCTCAGACTTCTTCCGTTGAGCGACTGGGTTTTTGCGAGTCTTTTTCTCGCCCGCACTACTGTGACGCCTCGACACTGGAAACAACGGGTGAGAATTAAACGGGCAATGATAAGTGGGTGAAAACACAGATATGTTTGAATATCAGAGCATAAACTCCGGAAGAACAGGTGATTAATATGATTGAAATACATATGTTTGAATCGGCATAAAGTTAGGAGAAATAGGCGCCCAAAAATGATTGAAAAACAGATATGTTCGAATAGATCATGAACTTAGTAGGAACAGACGATTAATGGTGAGTAACAATGCAGAGATATTTGAATAGAGCATGTACTTAAGACGATCAAAAGTGAGTGAAAATGCAGAGATGTTTGAATAGAGCATGAACTTAGGAAGGACAGGAGATTGAAAGTGAGTGAAAATGCAGAGATGTTTGCATAGAGCATGAACTTTCCGAGTTTCAAGTATAAAAGAGAGACAACTACATGCACATACCGTGTCCACTACCCGCATTCTCGGGCCGGATATTGCCGTGCTTGATGCGGATGTGATTCTGCAGCGAGCTCTCCGTAGCGTACAACCGTCCACAGCCCGTGTGTCCACACTTGACATTCCTCACTAACTCCCTAAAGCACCGCCTCTTCCGCGATGGTTTCTCGGCACTATCCTCTGCACCTTCTGTGTCGCCGCCAGAGTTTCCGTCCGAAGTAGTGGACTTCAACTTTGCCAGTTTAGCGTCCTTCTTGCATTCTTTGGTAGGCGTTTCGTTCTCAGGGGAGGTTTTGCCCGCTTCAGGCTTCTTGGGTTCTTCCTTTGGTACCGCACTTTCTCCAGTAAGAATAGCCATCAGAGCGGTGGGGGTGGGTGGGGTGACTGTAGTCTCGACTTGCTCAGTCTTGACGCGAGCCATTGACACTGGCGAGAATATATTTTTGATAGTTGATTCGAACTCGAGGGCAGGCGAGTCAGGTTTAGCTGAGTACGAGGACAAGCAAAGATTAGCATATGAGAAGTATTTTCTCGATAAGTAGTCTAACTTTTAGTTAAGTAATTGGTTATGTAATCATGTCACTCAATACACGGAGACTCTGTGGTGCTTAGGGCCACCGTAAAATAACAAGGCAAACATTGGCAATAAATGAACGATAGTGTACAATATTACTCAGAACTCCGCACACGTGGACAATACTGATGCTGACCCCTATGGTAGGCGACCATAAAATGCACGATACCACAAGGTGAAATCATGCGGACATAGTCTGACTACGTTATGCCTGGTTTTCGACTACATTTATTTCTATTTGGCGTGGAAGGAAGCACGTACGGAAGCTACGTGATCATGGGGCCCACTATACTCATGTAAGCATTTTTTTGTCAAGCATACATAACGAGAGGAAAGAAATAGTCACCCCATGTCACATCAATGATCAAGTCCTGACAGGAATTTCAGCTTGGTCTTAAACTGTGTATATCGATACTACGCTGTGGTTAATACATAAAAAGCATGCCACCCACACGAACCACGATACAGACTACCAACCAGCTCTAAATTCATAGCTTTCATGTTCCTAAAATGACAAGACACGCAGCACTTAATCGAAAACACGCGGGGAAGCTACACAGAGCCCAGGCCAAAACCTCAAAGTACACTCGGAGGTCACATACTTGTATTGAGTAGGTCCAATTTAGAGGCCGGCTTGAAATCGGTCGGCGAAGGCGACGCAGTTGAGTGCAGTGTTTCCGTCACCAAATGCTCGGACAGTTTAGACAGGCCCTGGTTCATAAACGGAGGACCCAACGATGTGTCCATGAACGGGCTGGTTATTGAGGTGTGTGTGAGGTCTAAGCTCGCTTTGCGTAGCTGCAGGGTGTGATCGGACTGTTCGATAGTCCCAATTGGCATGGCCACTCGGGGCATGGAGTCTAACCGCTGCGGGAACAGTGGAGGCACCGATTGCAACTGCGCGTGAGGATTAGCCTTGAGCATCTGAGGCGTGGAGGTCAACGGCGAGTTTAGTGCTAAGCTAGCCGGGGGTGGCAAGCGGGGGGTTATAGTTGGATTAGCACTCGTGCCGTTTACGCCCAAAGTGGGGTGCATCGGTATACCGGTTTGATTCCGGTATGACGGACGCTGTCTCGTAGGACCCATAGGTATGTAAAAGGGATTCATGTTGTAGTTATTCATACTGTGTCCGTATGGAAGGCAGGGGCCTGACGAGCCGTCCATTGCACCTCCTTGACTATAACGAGGCCCTGTACTTCCGTGGACGGGGCCGTTGAGTTCTAGACCGGCCATCTATGATTGAAGCGAGAATATGTATGGAATTGTGAGAAATAGTCCGTTTACAGAGATACTGGATACGTTTTTGGTGGACGCATACAGACAAGGAAGCTTTTGTTGCAGTACAAGCGTGTGAGCGCCTGTTATTAGAATCAACGTCTTAAAGTTTGATGGACATGGTGGTTTGGAAATGAAGGGTTGGCTTTGTAACTTTAATTCAACTATCATCAGGTCAAAGAAGGTTCGCAAGCTACAACAATATGAAGATATCACGCACACAGGGAAACAAAATCAATCAATTCAATTTTTAACAGCAAGAGAATAAACTGTGACACCTCATAACATTTTGAACTTGTATGCATCTGACTAAATCCGCCTTTATTATGAGAGAACTTATGCAAACCAACACAAAAAATTCGATGGACATCTCATTATGAATAGGTTAACTCTAGTCGTATCCTAACGAGACAGTGGCAGCTGATTATGTGAAATGTGATCACTCACCTTTCCGACGACGGGTTGTGATAGAGTTCGTGAGATTGATTGTTTCTGGCGCGAGTGATGCTGCTCGTTAAACCAGTAGAACATGTTATCTGACGGGGCTGTCTTCTTGTCTCGTTGCATAGTGCCATACAGCTCAGATAGTATCCTGGTTCGAGTACTAAACCCTATCAACACACAAAGCACTTAAGTGAAACCCTTTTTAGTGATCGCTTCTCGCGGCGCATGCACCGATCAATAGATTCGCTATACAGATGGCGTGCAATATATAGGTATATATATAAATATATATAAGGTGATATTAGTATGCAGGTTTCTCCAGTATTGTCGCACAACTGGCTATTTAGTCCCTATCCACCCTGTATCTACTTGCTAGACCGCAACCACCGCGACCCTTTCAAGTGTATATACCGATGTACTATTGTAGATTGAGACCTCACTTGTATTATACTACCAGGCAGACTATGATATTATAGTAAATGAAGACGAGCTATCAAGTCGTTCACTGCCAAGCAAGAGTATGAAGATTGTCCTTATCACACATCGCGAATCTCACTCACTCGCACTGCTTAGTCGGTATCAGCTACGTACGCAAGATCCGCGTTTGTGTATTTGCCTGTGCTTCATATTGCATACGGCTCCTCACTTTTCGGCAAATTCAATACAACGCCCCTCGAAAAAGCCCATATTACAGGATTGCTTGACCAATTGAAATTTAGCATACAGTTTACGACATATTTGGCATCGGTAGTTAATCCTGTCTCAAATAGGCATTGGGTGACCAATAGTCGTATTTATGCAAATGAATCTTAACGTTCCTCAATATTGTCGTAAACTATAATTCATTTCCTGATGTCGCATACTTGGGGCAGTACGACAAAAATAGAAGATATTCTAGCCTGTAAGTGGTCCGTGGCTTTTGTTTGCATCCAATTGCAAATCTTTCGTGCTTTAACGAGAGTAATTGACTAATTGATGACAAATTTTAACAATATAATAAATTGACTGATAATGTTGCCTGTTGTCTGACGGCCAGATCACTGATATTCCTTAATGGATTAATAATTACACTAATGCTGTATTATGTTTATTTACATTCCACGAGTCCACCGCGACAACTTCCACAAGTACAATAGCCGAATGGGAATAGCCTATATCATCTAGAAACGATGTGAATGGATCGCTGTCTTAATCAGCACTTGCAACTGAGCACTTGTATACATTCTTTAGCGTAATGAGTTGGAATTTCGTTACCTACTTCCGAGTAATAAGTGTATGCTATAGTAATGCATTTGTATCTACGCCGCAAATCCTAAATCCATGTTCATTGATCTACATGCTAAACGTCCATAGTAGATAGTGCTTTGGAATACTCCTGATACTTCCCAAGTTTACTATATAGATACAGCAAAATCATACGGCAATATCTGATATGCTATAGTAGTACATTTGTACATGCGCCGCAAATCCCAAATCTCATGTTCATTGTTCTACATGCTAAACATCCATAATAAATAGTTCTTTGGAATCCTCCTGATACTTCCCAAGTTTACTATATAGATACAGTAAAATTGTACATACGCCAATATCTGAAATAATCAGAATCCCATTTGAAGGAATCATATACTATTACTACTCAATATATTTAACTGAGATGCGAAGTACTCCATTGTTTAAGTATAACAGTGGGATAATTTATTGGCTACTGTGTGCGTTTGTGTGTGTGCGTAATCGATACAGTTGCAGTCAGAATATGATACACATGTCAATACTTTATTTAGCAGGTACAGCCTGCTATGATACTCTTAGTCAACTACAACAGGTGGATAAACTCAGATGTTCACCTTGTACTAGAGCGCAAGTGAGGTATTCTCTCCTTTCGATTTAGAGTTCAACATGAGCATAGTAATACACACAAATCGATTATTATGTATTATCTACTGCCAATTGCATACATGAATGGTCAAACTCCCGTGTCCGAATTAGCACGAATGTATGACGCTAATGTACAAGCAGCGTTGGCAGTGTTTTGAAAAGGGGACACTTTCGTTCGAATAATTTTTTTTGTGGCGCTGTGTGATTATATATTATGTAGCGCATGTCTTTCCAATATTTGGGGTTTTTTTCAAACTTTTTGTTGATGCCAGAATTTCATCGGTAGATCGTCCTGTACGCCGAACACTTTTGAAAATGATGGTCCCGATTCTGCTCGGATACGGATACAATTGTCAATTGTATTTAGATCAATATTTAAATAGTGGTAGTATGTTGAGTACCGTCTTGTAGATTGTCGTTTGTTATAAATTGTCTATGTAAATATTGCGTTCAGAATTGAGAGTTCAGGCTCGGAGACTCCAGACCCTTCTGTATCTTTTGGGCAGCCTCAGCCCTCAGGGCTCAGGCCTTCGGGCCCACCAGAGTGGACCAATTTCGCGTCGGGGACTTGAGTCTCGCTGCCATGTACATGTGAGGTTCGAGGGTGTGAGACTCTTATAGACTGAGAGCTGTATCCCGTATCAGAGTCTCTGTGAGTCTGAGATGATGCTCACATACTAAATTCATTTTAACACCAATGGTGCTATAATGTTATGTAAAACGGTATTACCCTATATGACGCGGCCGTCTTGTTAATATTATAGAAGGCTATGGCTATGGCTATGGAAATAGATACTACACAGAGACTAAGATGGAGTCGAGGTTGTTCGGTAAAACCTCAAAGAATTCTAAAAATGCCATAGATATAAATACGAATTTCGCCTGATTTTGAATTTTTTAAATTTGACGCAGCCTACAGCCTACAGCCTACAAGAAGCCCTTCCCGCCACCCGAGCCTACACAGTACTGACTAGAGAGTGACTACTGTAGTACTGAACCTCTCTCACTGCCCTTTCTCTCTTGTTTCTCTCTCTCTGAGAGAGAAACTAGAGAGCGCATTCTCTGAGAGAGAGAGGCGCTCAATAGTACCCCCGTGTATTTATTTATTCTCAATTCTGCGTATTTATTTATTCTCAAGTCTGCACTCTGCACTCTGCACTTTGCAGTGTGCAAATTTTCAATTCAGTTAACGAATTTCGGTTCCGGAATGAATGTTTTATATATATTATTTAGAAACAAAAACGAACATTAATGACAGGATGATTGCAACGATATCTTGGAATCCAATGAAAATAGTCCAAACGGAATTCCTTTATGCGGCCAAGCCTTTTATCGTTTTTCATTCGTTCATCGAAATTGCATGTGAAAATAAGGGGGGGGGGTCCAAAACGTTGCAACTCTAATTACGTTACGATAGTTTCAACATATACGTCGATTGTAAACGTACAAAGATTTGGAATTAAAACGTTATATCGTATATGGGGGTGAGAACAGGTCCTACTTAGTATGAAGTATAATCAGACTATATACAAAACTACTACATACATTTTGCACCTTAGAACCCAAACACAGCACCCTAATCACAGATACAGGACCAATCCAATGTAAACGTTGAGTGGAAACGTACAAAAGCTTCGGTTAAAATCAGTCCGAATATCATCTCAATTGCTCCTTTCTGATTTCATATCATAGTGATCTCGCAGTGATCTCGCAGTTTATTGTCTCGTTACAATACAGAAAAGTCAAACGATGATGCCCTGGTGAAAGTTAAAATCTACGTTATTTATTTCGCGAGTTCCTACTGAATGGCCTGTGCTTTCGATTGTGAGGTCTCACAAGACGATGGAAGCACCACGTACGTAAATATATGATCCGTTCCTAATTCATTCCTTCATATTCACCTGTGCACGCTATATACAGGTTGTGCGCGGTTTAAATTGGGATCTGAATTTTTGGGATAAAAGCGGGACAAGCAAGCAAGTTACTATGCCAACTAATATTAAGCCAGAGGACGTGGTGGTAGAAGCCACGTCTATAGAGACCACCATTGAGGACCATAAGATCAAAGGGACAGAAGGGACCAAAGTACAGTTGATCGACCCGAAAGGTAATTGCAGTACCGGCGATGCTGAATCGGATACACACGCTTCTAAAAGTGGTGACGATACGTCCGGTACTCCTGATGATGAATCCGTAAGTAGCGTGAACACGGCCGATATAATGGTAGGGGTGGATGAGCTTTCAAGCAACAAACCAGTCAGTGATGGAAGCAACGTAGGCACAGACGCAAGCGAACACAGTGCTAATGTTACCAATAGTCGCACAGCAGAAGGAACTAGCGAAGCGAAAGACACCCACACTCCAGACGTGAATAATACGGAATCGAATAGTGACGAGGGCGGCTATGTATTGGCCAAGTACAGTATATCCGATAAGAACCTGCCCGATGTTGAGGGGTCGGCTAGTAGTGGTAGTGAGAAACGCGAAGGACTATGCGACGCGCCAGAGGATCAGTTGGAGACTGTTAACGATATAACTGCGAATAGCGACATGGCGGGTATTAGTGGGACTGAGCAACCCGAGAAGACCATACTGCCATCCGATAAGGATCTTGAAGAGTTCGTGTCTCATAGTAATACAAATACAATCGAGCATACGGACGATAACGAAGGTGGTAATGCCAATGCACCTATCGCTAATATGCCTACCGCTGAAGATACCGACGAGGGTGTCAGTAGTGCTGCTACTAGTAGCTCTACTGCGAAGGTAGTAAGTAGTGGTGCTGATAGTAATTCTACTACTACCGACGCTTATAGTGCGAAGAGTGGTACGACTACTACATCAGGCCAGGGAGATATATCAGCGACCCCTGCACGAACCATGATCATACGGCCAATTGTGAAGGCCACGGTGATCTTGGGTATTCGTGTGGGAAGGTAGGTATCGTTCACGTTCACTTTAGCATAGACATGTTTATTATGAGGGTTTTTAAAATTTGAAAAGTTCGGTATCGTTCTCGAACGCTTTGGCATCTACATATATATATATCTATATACATATATATCTACATATATATCCTATTTAAATATGTCTACATATATATATAGATCTACATAAATATATATAGATCTACATATATATATATATATATATATTTATTATTATATATATATATATATATATATTAATGTATATATATATATATATATATATTAATGTATATATATATATATATATATATATATATAC